GATGGATGAAAATTTCTTGTGTCACTATTAATTTGTTGTAAGAGAACTCATTTAAAAATATCAATATTTGAAAAATAAAATCATTATTTTGAACACAACCTTTCTCCTAAAATAAGAACCACTGGTCAGGAAATTTAAATTAAACTTCAAATCATACCAGTAGAAAATTGCAAACTTGTTTATCTTGATGTATTTCCACTGTTAATTTCCAAGAGCATGTGAAAATATCCTAATGAAAACCTTTGTATTTTTAAAAATTCAAAGAGTGAGGGACATATTCAGACTAAGCAATTGCATGGGGATTAAAAAAAACACCACTTGTCAATGAGAATTAAGTGCTTTTAAAATCATTACATTATTAAACACAGAATATTCTTTTTAATTTTTTTATTGTGCTTTGGGCTAACGTTTTGGAGGTTAGTTTTCTAGTCAACAGCTCACACACACAGTGTGCTTCCTGGCATTGATTACAATGTCCCACTTCCTCCCTGTGTTTCCTTCTTTCCAATCCTTTCCTGCCTGCAGCCTTACTCTTGGCAAACGCTGTTCTTTGAATTTAGTTTGGCTTACTGCTCTAAGGAGTCTGTCTCCCCTGGATTATTGTTCATCTAGCAGGCCTGTCAACTGTCTGGAATAACACTAATTTTAAACTAACCATGGCAAGAAATTTTGGATGAACTTGTGTTTGCTACTAAGAATAGTTTGACACTTTAGACTTCCTAATTCTCTGTTCTACAGTGACGATAAATCTTAAAAATTTATCAACTTTCACTAATCACAGGATCCCACTTCATTTGATTTAGGCGTATAGTAAGGGCCAGGAACTGGGAGGTGCAAACAGTTCATGTGCTTGACTGCTAACTTGAAGGCTGGAGTCTGAGTCCAGCTAGAGATGCCCTCAAAAGAAAGGTCTGACAATTTACTGCTAAAAAGATAGGACTAACATTTAGGTGATTAAAAAGTTCTGGAGTAGAAAGTTGAGCAATATTGTGAATGTGGTCTTAATCACTGAATTGTATACTCTGAAATGGTTAAAATGATAAATGCCATAGTATGGGTATTTTATCAAAATAAAAAGAAAAAAATCAGTATTATGGGATAGAGCTAAAACAGTGCTTAAATGGAAATTTACTGCTGTAAAAGCCTGTATCGAAAAAGATTTTAAATGAAAACCCTAGCTTTCCACTTTCAGAGACAAGAATATCAAACTAAAACTAACATGGTGGAGGTTGTGCCGCTAAGTCCATTTTCACTCACAGTGACACTATGTGACAGAGCAAAACTGCCCTGTTGGGTTTTTTGGCTTAAAGAGAGGAGCCCTGGTGGTGTGATGGTTATACATTTGTTCAAAACCACTCACTCAAGGGAGAAAGATGAGGCTTTCTACTCGTAAAAGGGTTATAGTCTTGGAAACCTACAGGGGCAGTTCTACCCTGTCCTATAGGGTTGCTATGAGTCAGCATCAATTCGATGGCAGTGAGAGGGAATCTTTACAGAAGTAGATTGCCAGGATTTTTTCTCCTGGAGCCCTTGGGTGGGTTTCAAACTACCAACCTTCAGTGCAGCAGTTGAACACAACTCATAGCAATCAACTGCGTGTATAGGGTTTCTAAGACAGTAAATCTTTATGGACATAGATGGCCTCATCTTTCTTTTGTGGGGCAGCTGGTGTTGACCTTGCAGTCAGCAGTCCCAATCCTTTTTATCTTTTTTTCTTTTTTTTCTTCTTTCTTTCTTTTGCCATCATTATTCCCAAAATTCACTTTCCTCTTGGGTTCCCGGAATCAGCTCATTTTCTTTTTTTCCCCTCCCCCTCCCTTCATCCTCCCCTCTCCCCCATGTACCCTTGATAATTTATAAATTATTATTGTATCTTATATTACACTGCCTGGCGTCTCCCTTCACCCACCCCTCTGCTGCCCATCCCCCAGAGGGGAGGTTACATGTAGATCAACCATTCCCCCTTTCTACACCCCCTTTCCCTCCTGGTATCGCCACTGTCACCCCTGGTCCTGAGAGGTTCATCTGTCCTAGATTCCCTGCGTTTCCAATTCCCATCTATACCACTGTGCATCCTCTGGTCTAACCAGGTCTGCAAGGCAAAATTGGGGTCATGGTAGTTGTGGGGGAGGAAGCGTTTAAGAACTAGAGGAAGGTTGTAGGCTTCATTATTGCTATACTGTACCCTAAGTGACTCATCTCCCCACTACCCAATCCTAACTCACAGTGTCACCAGGGCTTCAAAGTAAACGGCATCTCCATAAAACCACAGTGAACAGAGGGAAAGAACATGGGTTAGAGTAGAAACAAATCATACAGAGACGGAAAAGAGCAACAACAGGACCAACCCAATCAGAAGTTGGTTCTTTGAAAAGTTCAGAGTTGACAAACTTTCATCTCCACAGACCAACTCCACAGAAAACTCAAATTAATAAAATCATTTTCAAAGAAGGCATCATTACTAGCTTGATAGAAACAAGGACTATGAGGGAATACTATGAACAAAAGTACACAAATTTAGATAACTCATAGAATATGAACAAATTCTTCAAAAGACACAAACTACCAATAAGTGACCCAAGAAGAATCAGATAACTGAATAGGCCTATAATGAGATATTAAATTAGTAATTTAAAGCATTCACACAAACCTAACACCAGTGAATTCTATAAAACATTTAAAGATTATCAATCCTTCACAAATTCTTTAAATAATTAAAGCATGAACATGCTAGCACATTTTATGGGGCAAGTATTAGCCTGATCATAAAACCCAACAACATCCCAAGAAAATAATCTACAGACCAATATCCTCATGAATATAGATGTGAAAGTTTACAGCACACCAGTACACCAAAGCCAGAAACATATAAAAGGATTATAAAAAATGAACAAATGAGATTTTTCCCAGGAATAGAAGGGAGTTGCAACATCTGAAAATCCATCAATGTAATACACCGCAATATAGGACAAAAAACCACATGAATCATTTTAATAGACAAAAGAATATGCCTTTGACAAAATCTTCACAAAGTAGGAGAAAGAGGAGACACAAACGGCATCTACAAAATGCTCACGATTAAAATCGCTAACAAAACTAACTGTTAAAAAGGGAACGCCTTCTCCCTAAGATCGATCAGGAACCAGACGGGGCTATCTGCGCTTGCCATTGTTTTTCAACACCACACTGGAAGTTCCAGCCAGAATTTCCTTTTTTAAAAAAAGAAACAGGCACTGGATTGGACAGAAAGTAGTAAAAACAACTTGTAAATAACATGATCCTGTATATGGAAAATCCAAAGGAATCAACTAAAAACTTCTTAGAGATAACAAGTTCAGAATCTGACAGGATATGAATAAAAATACCACACTTCCCAAATTAGACACATATTCAATACAATCCTTATCAAAATCCCAGCTGTCTATTCTGCAAAAATTGACAAGCTGATTCAAAAAGTTCTAATGGAAATACAACATATTCAGAATAACCAAAATGTTTAATCTTGAAAAAACAAGGCTGAGAACTCATAATTATTTATTTCTAAAATAGTTTTATTGGTATATAATTCACATACCATACCGTTTAATACTTCAATCCTTCATGATTAATTATTGCAAAACTTAAGATTTTCAACAATGACACTGAAATAATTCCGTAAGAAAAATTCAAACCAAACTCTCCAACTCATAGTGACCCTACAGCACAGAGTAGAACTGCCCCTATGGGTTTCCAAGACTTGACATCTTCACAGGAGCAGAGAGCCTCATCTTCTCTCACGGAGCAGGTTGATGGTTTCAAATTGCTGTTTTCCAACGCTTCCTTTTTCTTCTCTCTCCACAGTGTCCTGTCTCTTTCACTCACTTCCTGGGCCCTTTGTCTCTTCCTCTCCCATCTCTCTTCTCTGCGGTACACTTTCTTGTTTCTGGACCGCTGCTCTTTAGTCTTTGGCTCTCACTCCTGTTTCTTTGGGAGCTCTTGCAACATTGCTTCCACATCCTTGGGGCTACTCTCCTCTCCCCTTAGGATGTTTTCTCTCTCTGCTTCTGATACTGCCTTTCTGGACTTCCTTTTCTTCCCTCTCCCCCCACCCCTCAAATCCCCAGTTTCTTCTTTTCAGTTTCTGCCTCTGTCTCAACTGCTTTCTCTCTGAATGACCAGCCAGTCCTTAGTTTTCTTTCAACTCCTCTCCATTGCTATTTTATGCCTTTTTTTTTGACCGCGTCTCTTTCTTCCCCCTTCTCCTTGCTATCACCTCCTTCCTTTTTTTTGATTCTGCCTGTCTCTCCATCTCTGCTGTGTCCCTCTGAGTTTTTCTCTCTGCCCCACCTTGCTCTCTCAGGACGACTTTTCTCTCATACACACCTCCCACCGCAACCCCCTCCCCCAAATCTGGCTAGACCAGAGGATGTACACTGGTACAGATAGGAACTGGAAACACAGGGGATCCAGGTGGTGAGAGTGGCGATACAGGGAGGGTAGAGGGAGGGTGGGGTGGAAAGGGGGAACCGATTACAAGAATCTACATATAACCTCCTCCCTGGGGGGTGGACAACAGTAAAGTGGGTGAAGGGAGACATCGGGCAGTATAAGATATAATAAAACAATAATAATTTATAAATTATCAAGGGCTCGTGAGGGAGGGGGGGGAGGGAGGGGAAAAATGAGGAACTAATGCCAGGGGCTTAAGTGGAGAGCAAATGTTTTGAGAATGATGAGGGCAATGAATGGACAAATGTGCTTTACACAGTTGATGTATGTATGGATTGTGATGAGTTGCATGAGCCCCTAATAAAATGATTTAAAAAAAAAAAGAAAGAAAGAAGAGTTAGAGAAAGCTAACGTTTCAGAACGGTCTAGACCCAGATAGAAGCTATTCCAAGGGGAAAAAAAAAAAAAGAAAACCTAAAAGTCATGTTTTTAAATAGATACTGGATCTAAAAGAGAACTAAGATTTCAAAAGAACACCATCAATACATGAACTATCAATACATAATTCATACTTGTATGTGAGGCCAAGAGGCCTCAAGCGTGGGCTCATCTTCTTCTGGATCAAAATCTGGATTATCACTTGGAGGAAGAGTCCGGAAGATGTTAGCACTAATCTATAAAGAAAAATAAATTTAGATTTATGTTCTTAGTTGTAGAGTTGGATTCAACAGCACAAAATAAAATACTTTTAAGATCAGCTTATTTATGAAAAACATTAAGTTGTGACTGTAAGTTCAACACTTACTTCAAAATCTATCTCTTCAAGACATAAAGAAGCCACTTCTTGTTTCTCCCATTTCTCTATGCAGTAGCTCCTTCTTCAGACCCTAAGCTACTAAAGACCCTCTGATTCCTCTCCTACAAATTATATATTTTTCTGTTTTGTATAAATATGTAAGGTTTACTAAAACACTAGCTGATCCTGAACTTATTTTCTTCTGCCACCCCACCTCCACAAGAAGCCCTGATGGCATAGTGGTTACATGTTGGGCTGCTAACTGCAAGGTCAGCAGTTCAAAAGACAGAGTGGCTTTCTACTTCAGTAAAGAATAACAATCTTGGAAACTCACAGGGGCAGTTCTATACTTGGTCCTTTAGGGTCGCTGTGAGTCAGCATTGCCTTGATGGCAGTGAGAGAGAGATCCCTCCCCCCATATTCTAACCCAGCCACCTATTTTCCATCACTGAAAAACTGGTAAAATATCTCCATTCTTTATACACATACTGGGAGGAGACAAATATAGAAATAACTTCACTATTATAATAGTTTATAACACCTCATGATCTGACTCAATGTTTTCATATGCTCTGAAACTTAAAAAAATAAACCTCTCTGAACTTGGGATGAATCCCGAGATTCTTCATTTTACTCAATTCAGAATAGCATTCCACCTTTCCATTATCTGTGTCAATTCCAAGGACATTACATATCCTATTTCTCTAGCAAAGGATAGACTATAGTCCCAAACCACAATTCAGTCTTTGAAGAACAATGAACAGGCCCACAGATCAAATGGTTCAGTAAACATTTTTTTTTTTTTGGTTCAGTAAACATTTATGGCCACATTATTTGGGGATTGTCATTTGGGATAAACTAGTTGGGTGTTATAGAATAGGAAAAGGGATGTTTGGTGGTCCAGTAGGTTTATAAATCACAGCCGCCAGTAGTCTATTACTATAGGGTGGCCATGAGTCAAAATTATCTTGAGGGCAGTGAGTTTTTTTGTAAGACACATTGTGACTAGCTAGAACTCAGAGCCAGTATATGAGGGTCATGGACACTAATTTCACAAAGAGTAGAATCAATGGGCTTTGAAAAAGGAAATATATCTCCTTCTCCAAACCCCCATATCCACTGTGGTAAAGTCAGTTATGACTCATAGTAACTCCATAGGACAGAGTAAGGCTGCCCTCCAGGGTTTCAAAGGTTGTAATCTTTATGGAAGCAGATGCCCCATCTTTTTCCTACAAAGCAGCTGGTGGGCTTGAGTTAGCAGCACAGCATTTAACCACTGCAATCACGGCTCCTTAGAGCAGTGGTTCTCAACCTTCCTAATGCTGCAATCTTTTAATACAGTTCCTCATGTTGTGGTGGCTGCCCCCACTCATAAAATTATTTTTGTTGCTACTTCATAACTGTAATTTTGCTACTGTTATGAATTGGGCGACCACTGTGAGAGGGCCGTTTAATCCCCAAAGGGGTGGTGACCCACAGGTTGAGAACGCTGCCTTAGAGGGAATATGTTGTCCTTGAGATAAAACTTACTATTGTTGATAGTTTTGGTTTTTTTTAGACATTAACCTTATAGACATCAGTAAAATTAACTACATAACAAACATACAAAAAGAGCTTTAAAGGACTAGAAGTGTGTGTAAGTGGCCCCAATATTTTCTAGGAATTTGATCACATACTCAAAAGTGAAAAACAAACAAAGCTACCCTTTTACTTGTACAAAGAAACTGAATACTAGGATTTATTAATCCATAGCAAATTGCTAACTATTTTGAGTCAATACTTGAGTACTTTTTTTTTTTTAATACTTGAGTACTTTAAATCTAAACCAACAGCTATATAGAGATTAAATAAAGCCATCTCAAGATTTTTCAAAATGTATGAATGAAAGCATTTCAAATCAGTAACAGGAGGAATACTGTTTTTCCCCTGAACACTTTTTTAATGCTAAAATAAGAAATAAAAGAGGAAATACCTCAGTATTCAATATTCTCATTCTCCAACTATCATTTCCCTTTTGCTATTGTATGAGTTTAGGAAGCCACATTCATGCTGATTAATATTTTCTCTATAACTAATCTTTTCTAAAATTAAGACTTTTATTTAAATAAAAAAATTCCTTTGGCCCACAGCTTTTTACCAGTCTATTTAGTACAATAAGAAAGAAAAACCAAATAGAATGCTATGGTCAAGCTTACCTTTCTTTTACAATTTGTTCTTCCTCCAAAACTTACAAAGTACTTCAAAAAGTTTGTCCAAGAATAGAATCAGAAGATAATGGAGATTTTCAACAAACTTTTTGAAGCCCTCTCATATATTAGTCAAGGGAGGAAGATGAAGGCAATGTAATTGCTAAATAAGCTTCTTTACCTTAGGCTTAAATTATGTACTCAGCAACACTATAGTTGTTTCAACTAATTTGTCCTATTTTGTTAATATGTATCAAAATACAAAAATTATAAATCCTAAACAAATTTCTACTGTTTGATGGAGAATAAGATTGGATTACTAATAAGTAGTATACTAAACATTACTTCAATAAGTTGGCAGTAATGCATTTTTCATATCTGACACTTCAAACATTTATTTTTGTCTTTTAAGTAGTTCAGGGTCTTGAATTTCAACTCACATTGTTATAGAATCTACAAATACTGATACTGAAATGCTCTAAATAAACAATGCCAAGCTGTTTCCCCTTTTAAGTATGGGAATCACCAGTTTTTCTCTGGTTTTCCTATCCTTCTTCAGAAGTTGTCTCGCTGTGACTGTTCATCCCAACACTAATTTTCAACCTGTACAACCATGAGCCTACAACATTTTCCTAAACTCTTGATCTGTACTGTTCAACAGTGCAAGCACCAGCCATTATGGCTATTAAATTGCCGGACAATTTATTATAGGCAATGATGGCAACATTAGTGTGGGTAGATAATCTTCCTAATGCACTACCTTGAAAAACATTCTTTTGAGAACATTAATCACTGTACACTTATTAAAAATCGGTCTCATTCATGCCTAACTACACCTCAGATCTTACTTGAATTTATATAAATCTGAGGAACATAAGTCCAAAGGCTTACCATTTTTACTATATCAGAATACGCTGATTCAACAATTACACCACGATTAGTTGAAACATACTCAACCAGTTCGTTCAGTGTTGCTCTTTTAATTTCTTTGCTCTTCAAGTCTGAAACAGAGTCCATGAAATCAAACAGTATGCAACACTGCTGCAACTTCTGACAGAAGAGCTCTTGTTGTTCATTTGAAGTGGCATCTATAAATAATGAGAGAAAAACTCAAATCACTATCTACTTAAAAAGTTAACCATATACGTATTTTCTAGAAAGTATTCACATATTTAAAACCTTTCTCAGAAATAAAATGTGAAATTCACCCATCTTGAGCTTTTAAGATCTAAGATAGGATTTAAACTGACAGCAACTCAGATATTGGATAGGAGTCAGAAAAGGAGGATAAGAATTGGTTGGAAAACTTGGAAGAATATAACCATAACTGGAAGAACAAGCCAGGGTCACTAAATGGTACATGTAGGCACTGCTGAATTAATGTTTGTTTTGCTTTGTATATTCTGAACAACAAAAAAGAGGATATTTACCCAACTGACCATATCTTAGGACCAGAAATGTGAGATGTACCCTGGACCCTTCCTCCTTTCTCACTATCCCCAACTAATCATTAATTGTTATAGATCGTTTCCTTTTCTTATTATCCCTCATCTAGACCATAGCTCTGACATTATCCCTACTCTTATTGTCCGGTCCCGTAGTCACTGTCTACCTCACCCAATTTATCTCCCAAATAAACTCAGAAGCCATCTTGCTAAGATGAAAAAAATGCACCACTGATAAATGGTGCAAGATGGTAAGAAGCAATAGCAGTCAAATGAGGAGATAGGCACCAGATGGTCCAATGGGTTTCCTGGCTCAGAAGGTAAGTCATTTCAGTGGGTGTGCTGACTCACAGGGAGAAAGAGCTGACTAAGGGCCTTTCAGGCCAAGGCTTGCTGAAGTGGTGTCACCCAGGCACCTAATTGATGCTAAAGAGCTTTGAACCACTTGCTTGAACAGAGCTAAATAGAAACCACAACCAAACTCAACTGCTATCAAGTCACATGCAGCTCATTGGGCAGAGGATGGAAAAAGGCCAAGGGGCTGAGCACCAGCGAGAGGTTTGTGAGCATGGTAGAGAAAAGGTTGTTCTGATCAAATAATTGTAGCCTGAGTAATTTCTTATCCTGAATTGCAACCTGTTACTTAACGATAAGCTCTCTAACTGCTGAGTATGATCCATGAGTCCTACATGGCCATTTCAACACGTTATTGAACCTGGAAGATCAAGAGGAGAGTGCTATGGTGAGGCAGGGCTGGTGACAGGGGAAAGATGAGGCTGTCTGCTCCTATAAAGATTTTACAGTCCCACAAACCCCACATAATAAGGTCTTATGAGTTGGAATTGGCTCAATGGCAATAGGTTTGATTTGAGTTTTGTGAAAATTAAATAGTCAGAGATGTCCACTTGCTGCCTTTTTATCCCCCATAATTACCCACCAAAAGAATCTAGGTCCTCAAATGCAACATCATTCCTCTTATTTCACAGAGTAAGGTTTCCCTTTTACTTCTTTTACATCTAGCAGAGGGTTTATAAGGACTTAATGAATACTTGCTTTATTTTTTTTATTTTAAATTTGAAAAACAAGCATTGTGCAATAAAAACAGGCTGCCAAACAAGGGAAATTCAAAACTGGTGCCAGATATAAAGGAAAGTTTAAGTACTGAACTATTACAACACAGCTATTTTTAATATTCAATGATAACAAGTCACAGTTTTATCATTAACAACCTACCTTGATGGTAGGTTTAAGTGGATTAAATGGGATCTTAATTATGAGAGTGACATGTCTATTTTAACATGGGAAAGATGTTTTTTCCTATTCCAAACAGGCGAGGAGTCAGTGGAACCGACAAGTATTAGGTTCCAGAGTATTAATACACATGAAAAAGGAAGTTTCATTTTCTGGGCACCTAACTCTTGGGTCTTCCCCCAAAATGAGATTATTACTTTTCATAGTTCCTCTATTGAGTAAGTCATTTCTTGGCCTAAGGATTTGAATTTCAAATTCAAGAGTTGTATCCCTTCATTATTGAATGCCTGGGTGGGACAGCTTACATCTGAATTTTCCAAACATTAGAAATACTTAGAAAGGAGTTAACATGCCAATTTTTTTTTTTTTTTGCTCTGAGCTAAAATAGAAAGTTTCTTATAGTCAGTTATTTTTATGTGTGTGAAAAGAAAAATATTTTTCTATTTAACCCTTTAGAAACTTAATCATAAGTTTTTTGTTGTTCTTGTTACTTCACAAGAATCCTTTGCTGTAAATTCTGAATGTTAGAAGTGATTGCCTGTTGTAGCAGATTAGGAAAACAAGACACAAAACAGAAAGATCATACTATCGGACAACTAATGGAAAAAATACTGTCATTTGCATTTTATCTATTGTCTCTGGAGTCAGAAAATTTAAGAGTGCTTACAAAATGCAATAAAAACAAACAAACAAAAAAACACCATACAAGTAGAATCAGCAAGCACATTCTTTCTGCTGAGTTTCTTGGCCAAAACCAGAAAACCAAACTCACAGGCATTGAGTCGATTCCTACTGACAAGGAGTCTACAGGACGGTGCAGAGCTGCCCTTGTTGAGTTCAGACTCTCATTCTTTACTGGAGTAAAAAGCCTCATCTTTCTCCTGGGGAGAGGTTTGGTAGTTTTGAGCTACTGACCTTGTGGTTAGCAGCCGCAACCCAATACATAAGTAGCCACAACACTACCTGGGCGTTTCGTGGCTGACTAAGTTAAAACAGCCATGGTGGAGTACGCAAGTTGTAAGAGGATACATGAGGGGAAAAAAGGGGGGAGGGGAAGCTATTGTCATCTAGCATTGGTTGGCCTGCTTCTAGGTTCAAGACATGCAACCGTTAAAATAAGCCAGAAAACCATACAGTGATCTAGTTTTCACCATTAAAATCCTTTTGAATTATTTTGTATTTGTGGATGTCTAACCATGAGTCAGAACTGACTCCAGGGCCCCTAAGCAAAACAACTCCATTTAAAAGAGAAATCCTAGGGAGCTCCATTCAAAAGAGAAAAATCCACCAATATACCTATTCGTATATTTTGATCTTCTTACGTTTTCACCTGGGATAAATTCAAACCAGTAGCTAGTATCATATTCAATAATTTCAAGTGCCTTAAGTCTTTATGTTACGTCACAGAAGTTTGATCACAATTTAAGAATATTTTATTTAATAGCTTGGAATAACAAGTTGTATTCATCTCTAATTTCAGAGGTAAAGATTTACAAAAAGTATTATTTAGGCAATATTACTAATTCCTCAGAATATAAAATGTTTTGCATGAATACTATGAAACTTATAATAGGACTTGTACAACAAGTAATTATCTTTTTTTTAAGTGTGCTTTGCAAAATACAATAATCAGTTTACCCAATGGCTGAAAGATGAGTTTCTTAAAACATATTTTAATTGTCTTCCAATTTATAAGAATGATGATTTTCTCCTACTAAAGAATTTTCACCAATGTAAACTTCACTGCATAAGCCTTCTATAAAGAAAAAAAAAATCAAAGACAACTCTAGAAATGTGAGACATTTCATCTTTGAAGAATTAGCCAACTTTTAAAACTCACAAAAACCTGCTAGGTCTTTCCCACTTACTTTCAAATAATTAGCTTATTTCTAATACTAAATTAACTCACATTGCCAAATATTCTGTTTTAGATTATTGTTTTCCAGTGCGGATTGCAACCCATTGGTGGGTAGTAGAATTAAAAAAAAACACAATAATTAATACAGTAATGTTTTGCATTTTAGGTTATTATTTCATGAAACTGTACCTGGGCACGGAGTTACAGCATAACATGTTTATGATTCACAGTAAAGCAGCTAAAAAGCATTGTTTTATAATATGTATACTACTATAAAATCCCACTATACAGCACATCCCACTATATAGCACATCTCTCTATTTTTCTTTTTCTTTTGGTGTCTGTCTATATAAGATAGGCAGGATAAGCAATCCCAAGGAGACAGCAACGGGACCAATAGTTCCCGAAGGGGGCATGGGAGAGGAGCCAGTGGGGGGAGGGGAGCAGTGAGTCAATAATGACAGGGACAGGGGAATAGCAAAGGATTTATAATTGACAGTAAGGAGAGTATAATGTTCCTGGTCATGTTTGATCGATTGAAATGTATTTGAGAGGAATTACTGAGAGTTGAACGATGGGTAAACATGACAGCAGGTCAGGAAGAAAGAAAGAAAAAAAAAAAAACAAGAACAAGAAAGTAAAAATTATATATGTAGGTATATAATTAAATACAATAAGGAAGCAGATGGACTTTGGGCCTCTACTTAAATCTTACCTATACAAGAACAGTTTGTTCTAATAATGTGGCAATGTATGATACCTTCCTGACATGACCGCTGAAGACAAAATGGGTGCATAAGCAAATGTGAAGCAAGCTGATGGTGCCGGGCTGTTAAAAGATACAGCATCTGGGGTCTTAAACAAGCGGCCATCTAACTGGGAAGCAATAAAACACACACAGAAGCAGCACACCAGCCTGTGCGATCATAAGGTGTCGATGGGACTGGGTTAAGGTGGCCAGATTTAAAACGGGACACCATTGACGGGGGGTGGGGGTGGGTGTTCTTGATTAAAATTTTTGTCTATATGGACCAAATAGACAGTTCCCTAGCTTGTCGTGCATTCTTTTCAAAAATTGGGACTTTTTTAAAACGCCAAAAATCTGGGCTGTCCCGCCAAAAGCGGGACATCTGGTCCCCTTAGACTAGGTATGACATGAAGGAGCAGAGACAAAGTGGAGACCCAAAACCCACCTGTAAGATAACTGACAGTGCCTCACAGAAGGGCCACACTGAAGGGATGATAATATATCCAGGCTGCAGTATCACACTGATGAAACACATAACTATCCCCTAGTTCTTTAATATTTCCTCCCCTATTTTTTTAGAAATAAATTTATTTATGTCATTTGCCTCATGATCATTGATAATCTGATACCACACTCAAAATAGTATATTTCTTTACATAATTTTGTAAGGGTTTTAGTATTAAGTAGAAAACAAAATTTACTTTCGATTCAGTTATGTTCTAGTACTGGATTAGATAATTTCACATCTTTGATCTACTTAATTCTGAAAACCATTATGTTACTGTT